AATCTTACGATTTGATTGGCTGAACAGCATGTGACAATACATGAACTTCGTGTAACATTGGACGGTTCCCCCTGTTCTATTTTGTACGATGTCATTTATGTTACACACGTATTGAAAACTTTTAATGCTGGTTGATCAACGTGATATCGAGTAAAAAAATTCATGTAATAAAGTGATATGGTAAGTTTAAGCAGCTTCTGTATACACAATTTGCTTTACGTTCACTTGTTTCTGAAAAATATGTGATATTCAGGATCCACTCCTCGTTATTGCAATATATCTCGGTGCATTTGGCTTTTTAGTTTTTATACTATTATTAGGGCCGTCTCCTCGTTTCAGGTTATTACTTAATTTCGTTTTCTGCAGGATTTTCTTTGTTTTATATATCTTTGCATCTTTTTATTCCACTATAGACAGGGCCCAATCGGTAAAATACATAATTTTTTGACGGTTACACTTATCGAATGGATAGGGTTAGTTTATATCGTTGGCATCTTTATTGTTAGCAGGTTTATTTTTTGTCCTGAATTTATGGATTGATCAATTTTCTTAATTTAGGTATACGTTTCGAAAGGTTTTCGGAAATCGTGTATCACGGACATGTGATCGATTATATGTGTATCTTGCGGAAGAAACAAATCCAGTTTTACAAGTAAGATTCGAGTTTTCACTGCAAGTTTCTAGTAATCTATGACAGTTATCTAAACATATATATATATATTTATATATTTATAAATATATAATGTATTTTCATCATATAGATTGTATACTTATCTTTGTTGACGGGATCCATTTATTCATTCTATATAACCGCATGGCCTCATATTCCAGGACCTTATATCTCCAAAATACACGTGTAAGTAGTGTACGTGTCAAACGATCAAATGCTTGCTTACTTGATTGTCACTATTTTGATTGTATCTTAATTATTTTTTTTTTATAATAATAATTTTTAGATATATCGTTCCGATAGTGATTATTTTTACATACGCCACATTCTTTATAGCAAGCCTCAGTGACCCGGGAAAAATAACCAAGGAAAACGAGCTTAGGGCTTGTAGAATGTTTGAGTATGATTTCTTATTATTTCGACCAAAACCGTGCAGAACTTGTTTATTGCAAAAGTAATATCTTATTATTATCAAATATAGAATCATGAAAAACCTTTATAAATAAAATTAACAATGTATTTTATTAATTTATTTACAGACCTGCACGTTCAAAACATTGTTCACTATGTAAAAGTTGTGTAGCTAGATTTGATCATCACTGTAAGTTTTTTAAAGGATCAAATATAGTATAGGTCCCCTATCACAAATCAATTGATTTTGTTAATGGGGTCTGATAAATACTCTCCTTGGGACCGGCAATTTATTATTTAATTTGACAAAATTGACACTTACAAAAATGAAATGCTAAATAATGTTATTCACATTTTTATAGGTGCATGGATCAATAATTGTGTTGGTTTAAGGAATCATCGCTATTTTATTCTTTTTCTGTATGCCACATTCCAAATCTGTGTTTATGGAGCATATTTGATTTATTGTATATTTAATGGCCTAGCAAAGGGAATGAACCTGCATACTCTTTTTATATATAATTCAAAAGGATTAAGAATACCAATCTCTAGTTATCAAACTGTATTGGTAAGTTTTTATTACCCTTTATATTCATTGTTTTCATTCTTTCACAACAAAATCTTAAGGCATACTATCCATTTTAAAAGTTCTTAATTCATCAAGAACGACTTCTTGGTGCTTTAGGACTTTTCGCCGCTCTTGTTAGTGCGGTTATTTTAATATTTATGCTTTATCATTTTTATTTGATAATTACCGGTACAACGTCAAACGAGTCATTCAAATGGGAAGATATAGATGAAATTATCATGGCAGGAGAATTTTGGGTTTATGAAAAAGGATCAGATGATTCACCAAAGAAATTAGAAAGTAATGAGTCTAGCAGTTCGGTTAAAAGAGAAGCGGCCAACGAAAAAGCGTCGGGAAAAACAACTGCAATTTATTTTATACAACCACGTGATTTTAAACAACGTCAAAATAATGAAGATAATAAAGATAATGACAAAGGAGAGAATAATGAAAATAATGACAAAGGAGAAAATAATGAAAATGAAATGAATAGTAAGAATCAACAAATTGGAAGGAAGGTAAAGAGGTTATCAGAACTCAAAAATATCTACGATAAAGGATTGTGGAATAACATTCGTGAAGTTCTATTTCCTCCTCCTTTGAATGGATAAAAAAAAAAGAATTTATTAACATGCAATCAGATATTTATATTTCAAATTTTATTCGCATAGAATTTATTTATTTATTTTATTTATTTATTTAGCTTAAAAAAATATATATACCTTCATTTAATAAAAGTTTATAATATATTTTTTTAAAAAATAATATTAAGAGAATTATAGATTTTACAAATTAGGTTTTTGAATAGTACATTTTTTAATTTAAATATTACCAAAAAAAGATGTACAGTGCTAAAAAATATACATTAAAAATAAGCCAATTTTATAAATTTTAATTAAAAATTGTTTTTTTTTTTTTTTTTGTAATTATGCTACGCCGAACATCCAGAATGGAGGAATTCCACTTTTCCCTATTTCACTACCCAATCCAACATTCATATCCGTATATTCCCTTTTTTCAGATTTATCACTATAATCACTATAATCAAATGAATATTTCTCACTAAATTTTTTCACTATTCTTTGCAAATGACCATGTTCATTGTTCTTTTGTGATTGTTTCGAACCAGTTTCATGAGCAGCACACGCAATATGCAGTAAAGGTTTCAGTAAAAATAAATTATCCTTCATTATTTGTTCTCTATTACCCTCAGTATGTAAATATTTATTAGAATATTTATTTAGATGACTTATGATAGCCTTCAACAAATTTTGACCATCCTTTGATTGATATAACCATAAATCATTACTTATTTTAACATTTTGTATTGTCCTTGTAATCAACATCCAATATTGTAAATTCAAAGATTTATACTTGAAAACATTATCTTCATAAGCTGATGGTTTAATTTGTTTATTCGTGATCATGTTTTTAACATACATCATCTCATACGGTTGACTTATTTTAGCAGCGTTCGTTAATGATGCGTCATGAGCAATATAAAATTGTTTTCCTATTCTCATTCTTAATCGATTAGAAACTCTCAAAAATAATCTAACATCATCAATAAATCCAGAAAGAGAAAGAACTTGAAGATCATAAAGAGTTCCTCTATGGTCCGGCCTGCGCGCCATGGAAATGCCTTCCGGTGAACTTATTAAATACTCGAGCCAATATGATACTAATGCCTTAAGCTCTATAAATTCTCTATGGGTTAATGCTTTTATCCGATAAAGTAATTTACATGAATCCAGAAAGTAGGATGGATCAATCTCAGATATATCCTTAGGTATTTTATAAAACATCGGAGAGTCATCATTTGATTCCGAATTTTTAGTAAATTTAGGGATTGTACGTGGAATCTTATTTAAATAAGGAAAACCATAACCTTCATCAACAGTTGTATTGCAATTAGTACAATGGTCATTATATTCCGGGAGAGTAATTTTATCATCATCACCAACACCATGAGATGATAACAAAAATGTACGAACAAGATTTGCGGCCCATCGTGCATAGGAAGAGTTTCCAGAAAAATAATTAGCCAAAGTTAAAGTTGTAATATTTTGAAATAATTGAGAAGTCGAAGAGACATGATCAGGCATTTCATTTGATTCACCATCAAGTAAATTTGTCTCAGGATCGGTCTTGAATTTTAAGAATTCTATTAGAATACTAGATTTTTTGGTAGATAAGAAGTCATCAATTCCATAAAAATCGGAAATAGCAGAAGTTATCTCATTAGCACGATCTAACAGAATATCGACAATCCTCGTAATCTTTTCATTACCAGACCAATATTTTAATTTTGCATTATTTAGTGACTTTTCATTATATAAAAATAAATTAGCAGGACTAAAATGGTAATTATTTCTTGCAATTCGTTCATCTATACCATCGATTAACTCCTGAATAGCTAATAATCGATTAAATGCTCTTAATGCACCAGCTTCTTTGTGGTTTAACTCTTGCGAAGCTTGTCCGGAGAATAATCGGTATATCCAGCCGACTATCATGTACCGGTTGTCTGATGTGTGATTCGACAAATCATCATTATTTTCCCATGGAATAACCGGTCTAACGACGAATTTGGTTGGAGTTGGAACGCCTAGTCGCCATAGCATTTCCAACTATAGTAAAAAAAAAAATAGAATAAAATAGCCATATTAAACAATGTATCAATTAAACATTATTGATTAATATTAATATATGTCATGCATCAGATTAAAATTTAAATGCGGAGTTTTTTTAGGGTTAGGGTAGGTGCCTATGTTAGGCTAGCGTTGCCAACAAAATTATGTATGATTAATCATCACATACTATATCCTCTATTTATTGTATGTGAATTACTATGTACCGGTAGTTATTTCCTTGTGACGATTAAGATTACGTATGATTTAAATCTGACGCATATTTTAATTTGACGCACAACATATAAATATAAATATATATGTATTATATAACTACCTTTGATCTTCTACCATAGCGCATATTCTCATTATATCTTTCTTCAGCATCATAACGAAATATGATTTGAGGTTCCTCAGGAGTTGGCGGTTTTTGATCAGTACCGGACAATAATTCAGAATTATTTAATAATCTTGCCATAGGAACCACGAAATATTTATAATCATTGCCCCATTTTTCAAGTTGAGACGTAATTTCCGTAAATGCATTATTAGTCAAGAAACAATTTCCATCAAAAGGGAATATCCATCGAGCATTTGGCTGAGATTGACCATGCATTAAGGCTATATTTCGACCACCATTCTAATAAAATAGAATTAATATTAATAAATGATAGATTATTAAATGACACAAAAATATAATTCAACCTACATTATTCATGACGTAAAGATTCTTATCATGATAAGTATAATCTATCGTTCTTATTTTTGCCACTTTTGTAAAATTCATAAATTCATAAGAATGAAAGAAATCAGGTTCAGGGAAATCTTCTAGACGAAAATCAGCTTTAAGATATTCATTCACATCAAAAGGTATTCTAATAAAATCTTTTTTATGTTGCTTTAGTAAATCAATTATTGCATTTTCATAATCGCTATCAACAATACGATTAATTATCCACCATTTTTTTGAATTTGGAAAATCAGGTTCGTTCTCTAAAATAAACCGAGTATTTTGGAGAACTTGACCAACTTTATGGCGTGGAGGAAGGTCATTGCCAATGATTCGATAAATGTGAATTTGCTCATATGATTTATGAGAACGTCTTATAGGGGATAATAGAACATTAGATATGAAAATAGATACAAATATTAAAGTAATTAAAATTAAAATAATCCGAATAATTCGTTCTTTACGCATGGTAACAGGAAATGTCCGATCTAAGTTGCCAACACTATTATAGTAACGAGGTAATTTATTACGCGAATCGTCTAATCCTAAAAAATAATGTCCTCGTTTCATATTTTATTTACGGAGAATCTTTTTTTTAATACCGAGTCTATTATTTAACTCGAATGTTATAACCAAGCGGAAATATTATTAAAGTGAGAAATGTGGCATCAAGCACTCTGATGATCCTTGTTAATAAAACCAAGATTAATAAAACCAATAATGCTTTGCCCAAGATTTAAAGAAAATAAGCTTATAAGATCCTTCGTAGCAAACCAAAAGAAAATACAATATATTGACTTTAAGAATTAAAAGTGGGGATAATCGAATGCTGCAAGTGGTAAGCATATATATATGCTATTATTATAGTAGCACAATGCATAATTCGAAGTATTTGTGTATTAAATGATCGATTAGTTAATGAGGAAAAATGACCGTTTCTTTTTTTATCAATTCAGGGAGTACAATTTTATTAAAAACTGTTTTTGGAAATAAATAATAGAATCTTATCATGTGATATTAATAATCGAAATCTAAAAATAACTTTGATTTAGGAACGGGGCCCCAGGTTGCCAAATGAGAAATGATAAGCTATTTTTATATATTTAAATAACTTTAAAAATTTTACTCCTATCGCTATATTGCACGTTACCATATTCAATATTCAATATCAACTAACGCTAACTGTAATAAAATATTTGGTTTAAATTCTATTACCATATAACGTTAAAACTTGAATTTTTACACACTAATTTTCACGATTAAAAATTATTTAATGCAGTAATATCATCATGATTATCGATATATCAGATATTGTATATCATGATTATCCACAGGTAGAACAATAAACCTTTTCAGCAAATATTCTTTCAAAAATCCTTGGTGTGATACGTAACCTAAATTTCTTCTAAATATTTTCCGACTTTTTATATTACATGTGAAAGAGAATTTCGATAATAATAGAAAATTGCATATCGCACCAAATATTTTTTGAAAGAATATTTGTGAAAAAGGGTTTTTGTTCTACCTGTGATCAATACACATAGCTCCATATACGAATATATGTGTCAAATTAACAATTTGGTAACATGTTTTTAATATGAATTGACGTCGAAAAAAAATTTTTTTGGTATATACAGTCGACTCTGGATATACCGAATCTGTTTATACCGAACTCGGGTTATAACGAACCAGATCTGGCAGAACCGATTTTTAATAAGAATTTAGGCTGCCTATACCGAACTTATATAGTAAATTTTTATATACCGCATCCGAACTCTTTTTTACCAGCCCAAGAGTATGTACACATATTTCGATATAACGAACTATATATTTGTTTATATATGAGTGTCGCTAAAAGAAAACCCGAAGTTCCGAGAATTTCCGAAGATATACTGACCCGTCGTGATCCTACACATGATTCAATTGGTTAGCTCTGTATACCGAACTGTTCGGTATAGAAAAAATAAACTATACTCTATACAGACAAAACCTCCCAGAATATGCAGTTCGGTATATTCAGAGTCGACCGTATTTTCAATTTTGATTTTTTAACGATTCAAGATGATCCTGAGAAAGTTGGGCTCAAAAATTTGAAAAAGAATGGTGCTTATTCACGATGAAATACAGTAATTAAAAAAGTTTCTTTAAATTTAACCTTAAACAGATCATTGTAATATCTTAATTCTTCCACAATTTTATTTGGCAATATTAATGTAATATTTAAAGTTAATGTCACGTATTACCGTTGTTTTAAAGTTTCTTATCATCCTGGTTACACTATAGCGATAACGATAGAACACAATAGTTTCACCAACTTTGCTCGACACCGGTCAAGGAATGGTAACTATTAATTATTAACAATTATTAACGAAGTAAACATTCAATTTAGTAGACATGTATAAAAACGGTTAATTTACTCAAGTTTATTATTAGTTTATAAAGTTTTACAACTTCGTTTTAAGTTATATTTATTTGTCCTTGTCGAAATGAAATTGAATGATATTTAAAAGGTTTTTTAATTAGTAGCAAATACGATCATATAAGATGATCTTTTAGGGTCACAGAAGCATTTATGAAATAACCGATAAGCGCGGACGTATCAATAATAATCAATACTAAGTAATGATATTATTTTCTGCATGAAGCTGTCTTAAGACAAAATCATGGCTTCATCAAGCAAAGCCCGAAGGAATATCCCTCGGGCGCCATTGATATCTCTATCTATTTCGATGCCACAATTATTGCATTTATATGTTTCTGATCCTCTAAATATTCTGAATGTTTCCACACCAGCTACATGTCTTTGATGTGTAAGCTTCGTTTTGCATTAACACATGAACTCCAT